TATGTAGTCATGTACTGCATAACAATGCTTTAATCAGTTACGGGTTACATATGACAGTGGTCCCAGAACACTAGAGTATAGCATAGATGTGTAGCAGGCTACACCACTGAGGTCTGTGAAGTAAACTCTATGGTTTTTGCACAGTGATGGAGTCGCCTACAATGCATTTCTGACAACATATGTCCACTGTTAAATAACACATGACTGCATTGGGGCCCATCCACACCTTCAACCTCAGTTGCCGCTCAATTTCTTTTGCACTATTTCTGAAGCTATCTTAGCTTTCTTTTGATCCTTTAAACTCACTGTGGTGTACTTCTTTGCAGGGTCTTTATATTTTATATGGGCTCTTGCTTCTACCTAGGAGAGACTGCTATGCACAGCTTTGTTCCCCCTTCATCTCCCCAACTCTTTAAACCTAGGTCCTCAGAATAGAACTGATAATAAACTTGGAAGCTTGGGCTCATACTTGGTCCCTTTTCTGTTGTTTGGTTTTTGGTACTGAGGACTGAACCCAAGTAGCTGTAGTGTAGCCTCACCACTGGAGGCTTTTCATCTAGCTCACATACAGTAATAGCTTTAAAACCACATTTAACTGAGGAAATTACTTGGATTCAGCCATTTTATTTAAACTATCCCTTGATAATTCATCACTCTACAATATTTCTAAAGTAACAAATTTATAAGCCCATAAAGCTTCCATTAGAGTATATACGCAGGACTGTAAAGCACATGTTCAAATTCACTAAATAGCACGTGATTAAATATATAATATAATATATTAAATTTAAAATTTTATAACAATAAAAGACACAACGTCATTTATCTCCTGAAAACACTTCCCTTTACTTCAAACACAAGTATCCTGCTGCTCTCGCCACTTTCTGAAGCAGCTCTGGAAGTGCCCTTTCTTGTCTTCATGAAGTGTGACAGAAATGCAGGGCACAGTGCTCTGAGAGCCTCCAGTGGAAGGCAGGCTTGCATTCACAGGTGATGTGTCCTCATGCACCTCACCAAAGCCTTTTTGGTGCGCCTGCCAGCTCTTCCCCAAAGTCAAAATGACCATGAGAGGTAAACATTCTGAATTACTTCTGGACACCGAGGTAGCCAGTCACTGCAACTAAGGAACTCAGGAAAGAGGGCTCCAGAACTGTTTCAAAAGTGGACAGAAGAGTGGAATAATTGTGTCAGAGCAAGGAGGGGGATTCTGAGGGGACTAATGACAAGGGGTCTTTCACTGTAAAAATTTTTCTAATTTACTATACTTTTCAACCACCCACATACTCACAAATTGCTCCCCTAGACAATTAACCCACTTAGCACACCTTTAAGCAGGGCAAGCTTTCAGTTCCCACTTGTCCTTCTGATTATTCAAGTCTTTTCAATTATTGCAGCTTTTTCAGTTCACCTGTTTCTAATGAAATTCAGACAGCTGGACTGTGCCTGTGAACTGCTTATATTCTTCACCCAATGCTTTGGATTGGGTTTCCTGAATTTCCTGACCTACAGGAGTACTCTATGGAGCCTATAAGGTAATCTCCTACAAGTTAAACATAGGAACTATCTTCTCTCAGTCTGTTGACTGTTAACATTCTGTACATGATGTCTCTTGATAAACAGAAATCGTTAATTCTGCAGTAGTCAATACATTGATTTCTACCTTCATCATTTTTTGGTTTGCATAGCTGCTATAAAAAAAATCCTTAAGTGTGTCACAAAAGTTCTACAGTTTCTTCTAACAGCTTTATAATTTTGCCTGTCACAGTTAAGCTTTTAATCGATCTCGTTTGTTTTTATATGTGATGATGTGATATGATGTGATGTGATGCAGGGATTTAATTTCAACCTTCTCTATATAGACATTCCATTTTCCCAGCATCCTTTATTAAACAGTTCACCCTTTATTCTGCCCTACTTTTGATATCAATTTATCGTATATTAGGTTCCCATATGTATACTGTTTGTGGATTCTGAATTCTATTTCATTGGTACTTGTGTCTGTTTTCTAATCCAGAACAACACACTGTTACAACTAATACAGTGCAAGATTCAAAGATCTTAAATACATAAACATGACTATGTAACTTAGATGACAGGTCAGCAAACTTCTCTACAAGGGCAAGAAAGTATTCTAAGCCTGTGGGCCGCAGGATTCCTGCAGAGTTGCTCAATGAGACAGGAAGGTAGTCATCAACAGTACACAAATCAATAGGCTTGACTACATTCCCAACTTTGACAAAAGTAGGGACCAGGCAGGATTTCAGCCATGGGAACTATCATGGAAATCACTGGTATAGAAAAAGATATAATATCTAATCTACGTTTTCTACAAATAAATATTAACACAGAGACATCAATTTAGAATCACTGCCTTCATTTTCTTATGTCATAACACAATTTGATCCAAAATTTTCATGCATATCTTCACTAGATATCTTCATCTTCCTCATCATTAAAACAACTCACTGAATTCAGTATTTTCCAGGGTAAATTTTCTTTACATGTGAATTCTGTAGCATTATGGAACTTTTAAATTATGCTTACTGCTACTACTGGAAATTTTATTCCCAGCTATATAACTTTCTTTTCACTGATCTTTTATGTGTCTTCTCATGATCTTTACAAACTTATCAGTTACCTTACTACTAGAAAGAATTACGAGGACTCAAAACAGCAAATTCTTTCCCTTAGAGAGATGACATAAAGGGAAAAATCCTTATGTCCTAGGATATATAGAGGTTAGGCTTTGTAAATTTGTTTTGATGTCTGGTAAAATGATTCTGCCTCTGTTCTTCTTTACAAAACCTGTTTTACTACTTGTGAAACTTTTTCTTCTATATAAATACTACAGCCCAATAGGAATTTTCAAAAATCCTAGTATTTATTAAAATTGTGTTATATTTATAGATTAATATTAAAATAAATGACATTTTGCAACACTGGGTTCTCCTGTCATGGTGTCTCCCTTTATTCCCAAGCCTCAAGAAACAGGAACCACCTAAAATGACTTTAAAGGTGATTTTTTTAACTCCAATGTTTCTGCATAATTTGTCACCCACATCCAAGGAGTGCATGAACAGAACTGTATTTGAATTTGACTGGCTTCCTCTGTACTTTAATAGAATAGAAGCATATTTTCCTTTTAGGAAGGTTTATATAGACTTCACCACATTAATAAAGGAATCTATTTTTTAACAAGTGTAAGGACCACTATAAGATATTTCAATATTCCATACACAGCTTAAGAAAAGAGAAACAAGTTCCCCAACAACTGCATGAAACTAATGTAACCACAGTACTTTCTGCTTTACCTTTACACAGCTCCTCATTATTCTCTTTGCACTTCAATTTTTACTTCTTGGTGAAGATACTCTGTAATACCCCTGACTAAATCTAATCCAGCCAGTTAATATTTTTAAAGTATTTACTACAACTGTATCTTTCTTTGGCTAAGGATTATTGCCCATACTATCTAAGCCAGCTTAGTTCTGACATAACAAGTTGTGGAATTAAGCATGACATAGCTGAAAAATATTACAACACTATCACAAATGAATCAGACGTTTCATTTTGATTCATCTGAAAAATTTTAGAAGCACTGCAAAAAAAAACCCACAAAATAACTCATATCTGAAGTTACATAAAACTCTTTGGAAATATTAATCTTTTACCTAATACATATCTTTAATACAAATGGCTTTGTTTCTTGGTTTTATTCCATCCCATAACAAATATCTGAAAGGCAATAAAACTATATAATCACTAAATGCAGACTCTTTAGAACTAAAATTAACATCTCATTTACAATATGAAATAATCCTGATGCTAGAGACTGAGATTAAAAATAAGTATTAAAATTTTTCTTGTTTCTTATTATGGGAACTAGAGAATGATTCATCCTCAATATACAGACACCCTACATCACTCCAGAGGAAAGCCACTTCGACACTTGCCCAAAATTTGCTTCTTAAAGAAAATTTATTTAACAAATTATCTTTAAAAGGTGACAATATAAAAATCCTTTTGAGTCCACTATAAATATTCTACTTTCAACTACCATCTCCCTAATCAAAGTAAAATACTTCTTTGAAAAAGACATTAGAGAATAAAACACTTTCATAAAATATTCTCTAAATTACAGACAATGGGCTCTTCATCTAAAAAAAATACAAAAGAAAAACATGTCTGATCGTGTTATTTACATTTTTTACAATTTGTGTGACCATAATGAGTCACACTTAACCCCAGTGACAGAGATAACCGTTTGCCTGACGATTTCATGATGCCCTGGCAGACTCAGTCGTGTCACTTCTCTCATTCTATCTTTTTTCCACTAGACCAGATGTAAGGGAACCAAGCCACCAAACAGTACGGTGTGCTTAATAAACAGCATACATAGCACTACCTCGTACATAAATGAGAAACTGGACACACAGATACCCTGACTTAGTAACCAGGTTTAATACTTTGAAATATTTTAGGTTGCTGAAATACTTTACTTTCACAAATAACTACACTATATTCCTCCAAATTGAAAAAAAAATGGCATCAGAATGTATGTATATAGCAGAACTATTAATAGCCAGAAAATTAAAAATAAACTCAAATGTCTACCAATAAATAAATAAAATGTAGTACATTCAGAAAGGAGTACCATACATCACACTAACAATGAAATATGACTACATGAAATCATATAAATGAATCCCACAATGTGTTGTACAAAAATAATATGGAACCAACAGAGTATGTATCGTATGAGTTGATTTGCAAAAATCTAAATCAAAATAGACAAAATAATGATAAAAAATAGTATGCTAAACAGAAGTCAGTATAAAAGTATCCCTTGTAGCGAGGCATGGTGGTGCACACCAGCAATCCCAGCACTTCAGAAGCTGAGGCAGAAAGATCTCTATGAGTTCATGGTCAGCCTGGACTACAAAGTGAGACCCTGTGTCAAAAAAACAAAAATAAATACATACATACATACTTAAAGTCACCTTTGCAGGTAGGAGGCAGGCCTTCCAGGAAATCTGCATGAGAAGACTGTAAGGCCTGCTGTGTTCGGCTTCTTAATTTTAATGCTGCTTTCCAGACACTTACACTGTCTGACAATATGACAAAGTATATAGTTTCAATATGTGTACTTTCCATTAAATGCATTTTATATTAACAAAAACTTTACTTAGCAGTAAGTATTTTGCTACTTTTATAAATTTTTCCAAATAGTATTAAGTAACCCATTTCTATAATTTTTATTTATTTATTCTTGCCTTGAGCCACAGAAAATTTAAGGTAATTCCACGGTATGTAACAGATGCAATCGATTTGAGATTATTCACATTGAAGACTATGTCTTACCTGGAAATATGTATGCACAAGAGCTGCCTTTATCATTTAAAAATTACCTATCAACTGTTTTGACTAATCAAACACCAATAAGTAATACAGAGTTTACAGGAAAATGTCTTTTATCCATATCAACTTCAATCTTCAGAAAAGGTAAAAATAACAAGTGGAATTTTAAAATTAAAATTAAAGTAATATTCTCAAAGTCCGTTCGATTTCTATCACTTTTTGTTTTCCTAAATAATGAAACAAACACCTTTTGAGCCCATTTGCTCTTTCTTTAAACAGCCTGCCCTGTCTGCGAATTTTTCCATTTGACCTTTGATCCTAGAGTCTGCTCTATGGACAGTTAGTAAAGACAGCCCAGGAACCTAGGTATACTACACAAGGTGTCTTAGCAGCAACAGAGACACCCTCTTAAGCAATTCTGTACCATTTGAAATCTACGGATTTAGTCTTCCAGAAAAAACCTGAAAGAAAAACTGCACTATACTCCCGTGACAGAAAAGCCTATAATAAGCATTTTAACAATTAGCATAAATAAAATTTTAAATAAAAATAATTAGCACTTTCATAAAGGCACCAGAATGCTACCTCTCAGATTCACGTTTCACCTCTAGAAAAACACACATGATTTTCCCAAGGCTGTTGGAAACTGCACCATCAAGAAATCTTAAGAACAAGGGTTTTAACAATCCTCCAGAATCACATGATCTCTGAGGGGAAAAACAACTAGTCACTGGCTCTTGGATACAATAAATGACAAAATAAGGTAAATGGCCTTTTCCCAAGAAAAAAAAGACTGATCTTCTGAAATTTCTACTTTTCCTTTTCAAGAGTGTTTTGTTTACTGTTAATCTTATTTATTACTGTACAGTGACCAATCAAAAGTTTCTCAGTATGTTTCCACATATTTTTACTATTACCATCCTTAATCTCCTTTAGTCTTTCATTGCCATTGAAGAAAAGGCAAAAATCTCTCATAGACTCACTGACAAAATTTAATAACTGTTCCTTTTAACACTACAAACAGCCAATCCCCTTCCCTGCTAAGAACTCCTGTATTTGGATTGCGTTTACATTACTAACCCACACCCTCAGTCTCATTAAAAAAAGAGAGAGAAAAGAAAAGAAAAAAACCTTGATCCTAGTCATTACAGCATTGTAGTAAAACCAATAGTAGCAGAGATGGAACGAATTATCCTTGTTGCAATAGCTACCTTTTGACATTTCTTATGTTGAGCATCCTAAAATTTCTATCTCAGAAAATAAGTAAGAATCAAATGTATACTAACCACAGATGATGTTACTAAAGATCAGTAAATTCAGGTTGCCTCCTTTTCTGAGTGCATGGTAAGAGTCCTGTGACAAGTTTGGGTCAGCATGATAAGCAAACGTAAACTATGTCACTTCTGTCTTCTGCAATTAATGTGAGTTTTGAACAACTTTTTAAAGAATGTTTTTAAATCTGTTAACAGCTAAAAGAAAAAGAATCAACATTTTTCTAATGTTTCAGGTCAATGTGAGGATAAATTGGTATACTTTCAAATTATATTTCATAAGCTAATGTTCAATGCAAACAGGATTCAGTGGTCAAATAAATTTAATAAACAGCATGTATTCTAATACCTTTGACCATATTTAGGTTCTGAGAATTATTACAATAAAGAAACCTGCTTAACCTTTTTCAAAATAACCTTTCCAAAACTATTTGACCAAAGATTGAATTTAAGGTTTAATACCTCTTAGTGTCTTCTAGAACTTCTTCTGTTAGAAAACACACACACACACACACACTTTGAAATACATCACATTATTGGAAAAAGATATTTTACTGAACAAATATGCTTTACATTGTTTATACTAAAATTGGGAATTACCTTTTCTTTTTTACTGTCCTATAAATTATAATTGTTTTCATTTTAGATTTCCACTAAATGAGTAAAAGTTGAAATATCAAATTCAAGCCTAACAAAACTCCTCTCTGAGGGCAAACTATTCCAAGGACAGTATTTTAATAGATACTTTTTAGTATGCTATGCTATCAGAGATAATATGTAGTCTGTATAGATCAGCTTACTTACGTCTGGGGCTCCTTTTCATTTTGTTGTTTTTGCTGGGGTTGAAGAACGTTATTTACCAGTTCAGTGATCCCACTAAAGGGAAACCACCTGTTTAAATAAGCAAATAATGTGACTGAATAACCAAATGAGTAACAATGTAAATTAAATGTTTGCTTATCCATAACAATAAGAATACACAGGCACAAAAGCTACAGCCAATGGAAATGTGAGCTCCAAGTACCATCCAGGCAGTAAGAATACAGGAAAATTAAGTTTGAACACTTAACCAGTCCACAAGCAAGCAGCAAAAAACTACATCCAGTTACTATGTGGATGAAGTAAGAAGCTGCAGGCAGCTCTCTTACAAGCAGAGAGTCAGAAAGCAGGGGACACGCTGGCTGCAGCCTATCCAGTATTAGCGCGTGCTAATGCTGTCAAAGGCGCAGGAAGCAGAGGTGAGGAGGGACAGAGCTCTACTGCACTCTCAGGACATTACTCACTGTGTCAGTTGTGGTTTGGGTTCTTCTTTGACCCTAAAAAGATAAGTTTGCACAACTGAGTGCACTGTACTATGAATAAATTTCTATCCACAGATTGTGGTCACAAATAATGATTGTGAAATTTAGGATTATTTAGGATTGTTACATGAAAAAACTTAGTACTCTGCCATATAATTATATACACTTCAATTTTTCATCAAATTTTGATCATTAAAACTCTATTGCTATTTTATAACAATGATTTAGTCCTGAAGTCTTACACCAAATTTATATTGATACTAAAGATTTTAAGTTATTTTAAGTTACCACATTAAACACAATTTTATTTAGATAATTAAAAAGAAATTTCTTTTATATATTTTAAATTTCTTCTTTAATATAAATTGATGTAAAAGACATATATTTTAAATGAAACATAGAGTTTTGTGAACAAATTTATAAAACTTACAAATGGATTCTTCATGCTTAAGGGAGTAAGGGAATTATAACTTTATGTATCTACTCTCTTTAAAAGAAACTATTAAAAGTGCACATTAAATTTAAAATTTTCGTAAGTTATTTATGTAACTATACTATAATGAAAACGAACATGAAAATAGTATATAATCATGTACCATCTTATCCACAAATATACAAAGACAAATCCTGCTTTCTTGTTCTCTGAGATGAGAAGAAATTATTTTTTATATTACCAGAGTATAAGAATTCATGGTCAGAAACTGATTCACAATAGGCAGCAGATCCACATGGGCATGATGTGAACGACTAGACACTGCTACGCCACCAGGGACCCACCAGAAACATGCTCAGGGTTACTATCATGCACTTCGTTATGTTATCAGAATTAAACTATTCTGTCAGTAGACAGACCTACTAGTGTAAACTGCCTTCCCAATATTCAGGAGATGACTGGAAGTCTGGACCAATACACAGCAGAGAATATTAAAATAAAACAGGTCTGGACATTTAAAAGGCATAGGGCTGTATTCAAGGAAAAGAAAACCTCCAAAACTTGACTCCTCATAATTTGCCTACGGATGGTGCTGAGAAATACATCTATGATTCAGTAATTACTTGATTAGTCTCTACTTTCTCAAAGGAAAACTAAGAACTGGTAGTCACTAAAAGGTAGAACTTTCATTAGAAAGTCATACCAGCAATGTAAATTAAAATCTCTCATACATGTGAACCCTAGAATAAGAAACAGAAGGAGTTAATGGGATCTATAAGCAAAATAGTTATAATAAGAATAATAAAGGAGGGCTAGGGATTTAGCTCAGAGGCATAAGGGCCTGCTTGGCAAGCACAAAATTGTGAATTCAATTCCCAGTAGCAAAAAAAAAGAAAAAAAGAAAACAAGTAAGAGTGATAGGGGAGGAAATACCTTAGAGGGAAAGGTGAAAACTATTGTTAATTTCTTATTGGCTTGTCTTGAACCCTTGTATTGTAGGCGCAGCTATTTTGAATATAATGAGATATATTATGGTAATCATGATTTCCTGTTATATTGTTTTGAAGTCTTATAATGCTTTCATTTGTTTAATTGGTTTTATTCTGTTTTGTTCTGTTTGATTTTATTATATGTGATGGTATGAACAGCTATTTTGAAGAAAATGAGACATTATATAGCCATTGCTGATTTCCTATCAGCTTGTTTTGAAGTCCTGTTATGCTTTTGTTCTTCTGTTTTGATCAGTTTTATCCTGTTGTATTTTATTTGATTTTATTATGTGTAATGGGATGGACAACTTTTTTAAGAAAAATGAGATATTATAGTAGCCATTGTTGATTTCCTGTTATCTGATTTTGAAGTCCTGTAATGCTTTCATTCTTTTGATTGGTTTTATACTCTTTTTCTATGTTTAATATTATTCTGACTGAAGGTATGCTCAACTATTTTGAAGAAAACAAGAGACATTATGGTAGCCACTACTGATTTCCTGTTGTCGTGTGAGTCCTGTGTTGCTTGCATTGTTCTGATTTGCTTTGTTCTGTTTTGTTTTCTTTTGTTTTATTCTCTTTTGTCAAAAAGACAAAAAAAAAAATAAGAAAAAAAAACTCTCTCCAGAACTAATTTATTTTATTCTATAGTTTTTCCTTTTCTAATGGTATAAACAATTAATAAAAGGGATACCATTATATATTGTCCTACTGAATTAATATAATTTTAATAAGTCCTTATGTTAACCGTAAAATATTATGTGTATTCTGAAATTTCAGTCAAAATTTCATCCTAAAGCTAAAGTTACAGTATATGATGAATTAATATTTAAAAGATGTATTTATTACCAAGTACCACATAAAATTAAACCCAAGCAAATTATAGAAATACTGAATTCTACCTAGGAAATTTCAATTTCTTTAAGAATAAGGCAAAAATCTCTTTCTAGGACAAAATAAGTCACAAATACATTTTTAGGATACAAAGAGAGATTACCATATTGGTACAGCAAATTCAAAAACTGCTTATAATCAAACAGTATGTATATGGAAAGTAACAAATATTGAACAAATATGTAAAGGAAAGGGTATGTGTTAAAGAAGTCTTGTATGAAAATCTGCAAGAAATCGTATTGTTCTTAACCAGTGACAAAACTTTTTATCACAAATATACTGATTAGTCTGCAAATCAGTTTCCATTTCAAAGTCTTTAATTAAAAATTTAATAAACATAAAAATTTAAATTCCTAAAACAAATCATTTCTGGGCTTTATAAAAGTCTATATATTAAATATGCAAATATTTGTACCAGGTATCATATATTCTGCACAATACTTCCATTTTTAAATACAATCAAGAGTATAAATTATTCTTATCCTTTTTTCCAATATTTTAGATAAAATAAAATCTCAAAGTATCTAGCCATAATTAAAATCTATGTTGAGATTAAGAATTGGTGATAGGAAAAAGTTATTAAACATTCTGACAGTACATTAACAACACTAACAATGAACTCCTGTATTCTTGCATTCCAAAGAATTTATGAGGGTCTTCTAGTTTCCAGGATGACATATAAACAGCTTATAAATTCCCACTCCTGTCCTCACAACAAAAAAGCAGAACAGGCTGGGGATTTAGCGCAGTGGCAAAAGCGCCTGCCTGGCAAGCATGAGGTCGCAAGTTTGATCACCAGTAAAAAAAAAAAAAAGCAGAACAACTAACAATAATTCTAAAAGCCATCAGATCAGATCATTAAAGTGGCAGGGCAAATAAAACTAGATAAGCAGATGAACAAATGCAGAGAATCACACTTATCTAGGAGCAGAGGCCCAAGAGCAAAAGCCCACAGGAGGAGCCAGTATCAATATGAACACACACTTATGTATAACTATGAGGGCCCAGTGTGCACAACTCTAGAAGTTAAAACTCCAAATCATATGTTTCAGCCTTAGAATGCCACCATAAATTTTACCTCCAGGAACCCTACAAGTGCTCCTCATGAAAATCACAGAAAATCCCGTTCTGTTCAGCAGGGGGAAAGGAAAAGCAACCACTTTGAAATACACCCATTCTCTTCAACAAGGCCTGCCATCAAAGGAAATTAGCTTACCGAAGTGTAATCAAGTGAAATTTCATCAAAGCCTACAAGACCTAAGGAAACAAAATATCCAGCTTTATCCTCTAATCTTTAATGTGGAGCAAAGTCCAGCCTCCATTAACCTTCAATATGAGGGAAGAGAATATCCAACCCAGGCTCACTGAAAGACTAATTACAAGAATATCAAATTCTTCCCTCCACACCTGCTACAAACACAGTGAATCTGTATAATAATAGGTGAATATGGGCCAAGGAGTTAGCTCAGTAGCAAAAGCACCTGCCTGGTAAGTGAAAAGGTCATGAGTTCGATCTCCAGCACCAACAAAAAAAAAAGATTAACAGTAGGTAAATGTAACTAAAAGAACAGTAACCCTTGACCGGTGTGGTGGCTCATGCCTGTAATCCCAGCACATGAGAGGCTGAGGCAGGAGGATCGTTGCGAGTTCAAGACCAGCCTGGGCTACAAAGTGAGCTCAAGGCCAGCCTGAAGTGCATAGCGAGACCCTGTCTCAAAAAGACAAAAAAAAAAAAAAAAACAGTAAGCCTTGCATACTAGTTTGTAAGTCTCCAGAGAAATACAAAATAGCTTGAGAAACAAAGACGATGGAGAAAACTTTAGAATCCTGATACTGCAGCTACACTTAACAATAAACATAGCCTAATGCCCAGCCAAATTACAGTAAAACTTCACACTAAAAGCCCACTCAGCTAAGTTCATTTTACTCATTAAATTATGTCCAACTTTCAATAAGAGCTGTAAATCGTTCAAAAAGGCAAGAAAATTGCAGTCTGAAGAGAAAATTAAGCATTAGATATGGCATATATTTTAGAATTATCAAATTGTGGAAAACAGTTGCAGTGTATACTAAGGACTCCGATATAAGAAATGGACAACATGCAAGAACAGATGAGTTGCATGAACAAAGAGAGAGAAACTCAAAGGATCAAAAGAAAATGTTAAAAAATAATGGAGTAACACTGGAAAGAAAGGAACAAAAGTATGAAAAGGATAAAATATCCAAAAATCAAACAATATTAACAAAAGTTGTACTATGTATAACAGGAATACCATAAGACAAAAAAAGGAAGAAAATTTTTAAGAAATAATGACTGAGCTTTATTAAAAATTAATGGTACACGTGAAACAAAAATCCAGGAAGCGCCATTAAAATAAGAAGGATAAATGTCCTATCTTATTCTATTTTCGGTTGCAATAACAAAATGTCAGAGATGGGCGATCTTAAAGGAAAGAGGTCTGTTTCAAATCGCAGTTCTGGCAGCTTTGAAATTCAACAAGATCCTGGAATCTCCTCAGATACTAGTGAGGATCTCCTGGTAGAAGGGTGAGCACATACAAAACACTAGATGCCGCCTTGGTTTATAAAGACCCACATAAATGACACCAAATCCACTCCTAGAAATGCATTAGTCACCCTTAATACCCTGAACACCTCTAAAAGGTCCTACTTCCCAACATTGGGAATCAAATTTCAAC